TACTTTTTGGAAATGTGTAGCACCAGCAGTTGATGGTAGACGAGACGGGGAGTGTGGATTCGTACACTATAGTGTAACGTTTACGAAAACAGATCAACTCGTAACTTCTAGTCGTACATGAACACCGTACGCGGACCAACTCGTACGCGACCAACTCGTACACAGGACAACTCGTATGGGAAAGAATTTCATACTGGGCCACCACTGATATTCCTTAATATGACCTGAAATTTGTACCAAAACAGTTGTAAATCTGATGAAGAAACACTGCCCTAGGTCTAATTGAACCTTTTGTGTACTGGCCCAGTCCTAGCCGTCGGACGTGGCTTTTAAACTACAAGTACAACGCCACGTTCACGGGTCTAGCCCAGTCCCAGAAATCATGCAGGAGGTCTGAGTCCGAGAGGTGGCCCAGTATCATTCTTACCAAATGGCATGAATTTAATTTTGGCCAGTGTACGAGTTGGCTGGCGTACAACTAAGGGGCCTAGTAGTGAGTAGTACAAGTTTAGTTGGTTCACGTATAGCCCCATAAATGTGGCCTATTTACTGGACTGCCTCCGTAAACATAGGCCACACATCCACATGTACAAAATCGTGTCGATTTTGCCAAATTTTGATTTTCACATTTAGGCTTACTTTGTAGGTTTTTTTTTGCTTTAGAAGCATTCTCACCCTCTATATATAGGCTAATCAGAAAGTGCTGCCTTTTTCAGATGTCTAATTTTTGTGAAATTTCATGTTGAAATTTTGATACGCAAACGTGTGCAAATGTATCTGGAAATTTCACGAAAAATGGACATCTATTAAAGGCAGCACTTTCTGATTAGGCTATATAGAGGGTGAGAATATGCTTCTAAAGCAAAAAAAACCTACAAAGTAAGTCTAAATGTGAAAATCAAAATTTGGCAAAGTCGACACGTTTTTGTACATGTGGATGTGTGGCCTATGTTTACGGAGGCAGTCCAGTAAATACTAGGCCACATTTATGGGGCTAGTTCACGTACAGACGTAAGAGTTGTCTCGCTTGTCTTGCGTACGACGAGTTGGTTCAAGTACGACTACAAGTTGTCCTGTTGCCTTTATAATTTCAATGCAGTAGGCCTACTGCATCATGTTTGTTAGGGCAATTGTGTAGTGTAGGGTGCCTGTTTAGGTTTGATCAAATTAGAGGCAAGGTTGTTTTGTTCTACTAAAAAATTACCTTTTTAAAGCATACATCATGTATCGTCAGACCCCCTAAAATGATGAGGATACAATGTATGTTTTGACGCACTCGCATTCAATTTGCGTTTGACAACACGCGTGCGTTGCAAGCATTTCTGCGTCAATTATGGTGACTCTCGAGAGCTACTTCTCTCAAAATAAGGGGTAGAAATTACAACGGTTGGTGTCGCATGATTCATCGCGCCTAACGCGTTATGGTACATTGCGCGGTGATTGCCATCTTTATTTTCGTGTTGCATTTTGTCGTCGTCATTGCCATTTTACTATCCAATTTCCCTCAACAATTCAAAACCCTGCCCTTTACGCCTAATCTGACATTCCTGTACGTTCTTAATGTCTCAAACTATATGTATGTCCAATACAATGTGGAATTTGTTCAGTGTTAGGCCAACCATAAAAAAAAGTTCTGCTTCTGGTTTCCCTACCTACATGTTCATGTACCCTATTCTGCCAGCCCCTACCCTATTTTTGTATGGGGAAAGTGAAAAAAAAACACCCAAAATCATATTTTTCTTGATTACTCGCACATACATGCAGATGCCTCCATATATTCGTACACAAAAAAAATTGCACCAAAAAGGTCCCTACCTACATGTACATCTACCCTGTTTTCAAGTGCCATGTAATCAGAAGCAGAACTTGGTTTTTTTTGGCCTTATATAAACCAGTACCGTAGTAGATACATGATCACCAATGTAATTACCAGCTTGTTCCCATACATGTACGAGCTTGTTCCGGCTACCGCACATCGCGCGCGCCGCGACACACTAGTATACTGTTAGCCTCAACGACCCTTGCGTGTGCTTTGTGTGCGTGTATGTACCTCCCATACACACTTCCGCAAACAGCCGTACAGTAAATTGAGGCAGAGGAAAGCCTTGACGCAACCGTGGCAAATTCTATGTGTTTCTTTATTTTTTCGGCCGAATTCGGCCGAATATTTCTGATGCGCATATATTACACAATATCCAATCAAAGCCCGTAAACTTGGACCCGCGACATACATATTCATGCCTTTTTTTCATGTAGCCTGCAAATTACTGTATACGCCACGAATGTTCACTCAAAAATAAATGTCCAGGTATTTCAATTTTCAATCCCATTTTAAACCATTTCTCCAGTTTCATTCCAAACAAATGAAATATGCCGCTACATGAATGAACACTTGTTCAAAATGATGATATATTTCCAATGTATTGCGAATGGGACAGTCATACATGTAGCTGCCGACATTTATTGTCGGTGTAACAGCGTACATTATCACGCTGCTACCCCGTGACATTCTGCCGACAGCGAATGTAGGGAACAGGTCAATTCGGACCCAGGTCAAATTGTATTCATTTCATCGAATCATGCAGGAAAACTCATATCTATAAGTCATGTCACACCCGTATGAATTAACTGCAAGAAACAAGCTATTTAATATTGACTTTGGGATGGATACGAAACTGTCATACAGGGGCATGGTAAAAAAAATCTCTCTCTGAATTCGTACCATGTGCAACATATATCTTATACGTACGACATATGTATTTCACACGTACTTACGAATTGTATGTCGTACCATGAGAGAAGACTGTTTACCATAGCGCGTACTAATTATCATATTGGGCCTACACAGTTGCGTCAAGGCTATCCTCCGCCTCGACTTACTGTACGGCTGTTTGCGGAAATGTGTGTGGGAGGTACATACATGCACACAAAGCACACGCAAGGGTCATTGAGGCTAACAGTATACTAGTGTGTCGCGGTGCGCGCGGTGTGCGGTAGCCGGAACAAGCTCGTATGGGAACAAGCTGATAGCCTTGGTCAAGACTAATGTAATACTAGCCCAGTTTTATTACCATTACAGGCCTACACTAGCTACGTACGGCCACGTAATTGTATGTAGGTAAAAACGCCATTCTCCAGGCAATACACACAACCCCGAAATTGGTTCTTGCACAAATAGCAAAAGAATAACAAAAACTGCCCATTTTTATAGGATTCAATTATGGTTGTGTTTATTTATTTAGGCATACATACATACATACACTGTATATCAGATAAAAGTGACAAAAATACAAAAAAAAACAAGTGAAAACATAATGCAAGTGCAATAAGTTGCAATAGTATTTTCAAACATGTTTAATTTATGAAAAAAAGAAAGGTTTTGGAAAAACATGTATACATGTACATGTACATTCATTTAAATGACTCAACTACGTTATTTTAATAATTTGATGATGAAACTTTTCAAACTGTTTAATGTTTGCCTTTTTCACATGAGTAACACCTACATGTAGATCAGATAAAAGCTGGAAAAATAACATACATACAAACAAGTAAACAAATAACGGCTTTATGTTGCAATAATATTTTCAAATACATTTAATTTTGAAGAAAAAAAGGTTCTGGAAAACATGTATACAGGACATTCATAGTAAGTGACTAAACTACGTTGATATCAATAATTTGATGAAGCTTTGCATAATCCATTACAAATCAGTTATATTTCATGAACCTGACCCACACTAAGCACGGATCCGGGGGGGGGGGGGGGGGGGGGGGGTGGTTGTTTGGGGATCAATCCCCCCCCCCCCCCGACTCAAAAAGAACCTAATTTGTATAATTATAGTGACAAAAATTTGGAACCCACCCCCCTCGCTCTGATACTAAAAATTAATGTATTAAAGTGTACACTATTAAGTGATACAGTGTGCATGATCGTATGTTTTCAACAGCACCTTTAATTCAAAATATTGCACCAGCCCCCCCCCCCCCTTCGATTTTGAATTGATTATTTGTGTTGACAACCAGCTTCCCCCCCCCCCCCCCCCCCCCCCCATTTTTACAGTTTTATGGAGGCCCAATGTTCGGTGAAAAAAACCTGCTATATTTCAGCACGTAAGTTATTCTGACGGATCTGAAGCGCCATACCTACACATGTATTAAGGTGGTCAAGGCGCTGAAACACAATAAATCCAATTTACTCAGAAAAAAACATAATACCAATAAAGAGAGAAAAATAGTACAAATTACAAATGATAAAATTACAAATGATACAATAAACAACAGATATGTAGAAATGCAGCTGGTGCCTAGGTGCATTTCTCCCATATGAAGAACATGAATGTCAGCCTACATCACCAGGCATCTCCAATTGAGATGTACATGTACATGTATACATGAAGATGTGGCGAATGCACACTGATGCCCATGCGGCTCGTGATCGGAATGCACCTAGCTCAGACTGTACTGTTGTTCAAACATGGCATGCATTGGAACCAGCATGCAATGTCTCATACCAGCTGCGTAGCAGTTGCAGCTCTTTTATTAGTATTTCATAGAAGGTATATTTAATATCGCCAGAGGTACAGATTACATTACACCTGTATGTCATTGAACATAAAAGAAAAGCAATTTAGCATTTAGGGGCACGTATTACTTTTCGTTGCATTTTATTTATTTAATATTTTTGTTATTTGTTTTACACTGCACAAGCTACAAGCACCATATGATCCAAAACCTTTTTTTTTTTTCTTTTTGGACTTAGACTGACTAACATTTTCTGAAGTTTGGTGAATTTGTGTCAATGAGCAATCTCTAGAAGTGAAAGACTTCTTAAACGATAATTATGACATGGATCAAGTTCTCTTTTTATCAAGAAAAAATAATGGTAGCTCCAGTTAACAATTCAATTCAAATGGGGGAAAAGGTTTTAAAATTTAAATGAAAGAAAGGAAGTATCACTGAAAATACATTGTCTTGGCCCCCCCCCCCCTTTATCGTTTCTATTTCTTACTAAAGTTGCTACGCAGCTGGTATGAGACATTGCCTGCTGGTTCCCATGTCTGCTCAGTAAAACCCTTCCATTTTACTAGGTAGTATATTTTGCCACTTAGTTTTTTTCTTTCCGTCAAACACTCCACTTCATATTCATCTGAATCTGTGTATTAAAAGGGGAAAGAAAAGAGTTGCACATGAAGAGCCGCCATTTTATGTTTGGCTTATGATTAAAGGGAATATACAACATTTGCAAACATCGAAAAACAAAACTACCAAATTCTTACGACATACCTTACATGTGTACTAGGATGTTGGTAAATGACAGTCTTAAGCATCCTGTAAAATTATGGCACCAGGTGTGAAGTCATTTTCCGGAAAAGTGGTATTTTTGTATCATTTCCAACGGTGGTTGGCCGACTACCGTTGGAAAAACCTAACTATTTTTCCACTACTTTTTTTTTCAGTCAAAATTATGTTTGCTATTGGTTACATGTTTATGAACGGATGCAGGCCAGCTAGACTGGTTTCCTTACATTACAATTTTCCAGCATCTATAAATTGATCCATTTCATCTTTAGTTGAGTCAGGGAACCAGACTACTTGAACACTTTTGTGTTTCTTGGTTTTTTCCAGCATTTTCGGACGCAAAATTTCAAACATGTAAGTTTAACAATATTTGATCTATTATACTAACCTCTCAAATAGTCAATTTCTGATAATTATAGCAAAAGCCAATGATGTACATTCCCTTTAAAAGAAATGCATACAGTTTTATAAACAACATTTGCTCTGGGTGTAATTTTTCAGAAATGGATAGATTTGGGGTTACTATTTTATTGTTACACTGACTTATTTGAAGTTTTGTGTTTGCAGATGCCAGAAAACCAGTAAAAACCATTGTTTTCTTGTAGTCTGCTTCCTGGACCCCACTGAAATTGAATTGGAGCAATTTATAGACATTATGGAATTGTAACTAGGTCAGGGGACCAGTCCAACTTACATGAACATACACCCGTTCATCAAAATTCAGACTAAACATAAATGGTAAATTGGGGGCAATATTCGAATAAAAAAAAAACTGGGTTGGCTGAACAGCATTGTAAATTGATACAAAAATGCCACTTTTCTTGAAAATGTCAGCACACCAGGTGCCATGATTGTACATGATGCTTTAGACTCATTTTTTAACAGTCCAGCAACTTGTTCCATAATAATTAGGTAATTCTTTTTCTTTTTTGATGTTTGCAATGCTCAATCGGTTCTTAATCAGATGTTTAATATGCACCTATAAAGTTTGTTTCTATATCATCTGCAATCCAAACAACTGTGCAATGTTCTACAGTACCCCGTGTGGTTCATTACAGTAAGCTTTTTACGTTGACAGTAATATTAAAAACCATTACTTTCCAATTCAACTTGTACTGTATAACACAAAGCAATTTCAAACCAACCCAAGATATATTACATAAAAAAGCGGGATTGTAAGCATACCTGTGGCATTTTGCTCAACCATGTGTTGAAGCAATGTCAAGTCACTTGGTGTTTCTACATGCACATCTGTTGGAGACAACAAAATTGTGACAAACTCGAAGTAATAATAAAAATAATAATAATAAATTAAAATTTATATTGCGTGGTCTACATAAAAATGATCGAAGGCGCATTACATAAAATACCACGGAAATTACATTAAAAAAACAAGAAATAAAATGAGGTACAACTTATGTTAAAAGAGGGGTAAACTACTGGAAATACAATCAAGTAATTGATAGGGCAAATTTTCACAACTCAATTAAATCACAAGTCAATCTATTGGAATCTGTCTTAGCTTATTATGTATTGTAAATTTCTAATGACACTTCTCTGACATCATTTTATCTATGATACAACACCTCAAATGTCATATCTGAACACAAATTAGAAAATGAACATGTACATCAGGGTATTTGCTTTGTGAGTTTCACTATACAGGGTGGATAAAAAAACGAAACAGAGATATTTTTTGCTAATTGGAAGAGAAGTAGGGCACATGTGAATCAAAGGGAGATATCCTCTGTTAGGGTTAATCTCCTCTTTAAAATGACACCCTGCTCATGTTATAACATTCACGGTTGACTGAGCAGTGACCAATTTTGTGAAAGGGTCTATTTGGAGAATTGCGCCACTTTTCGATTGTGGTTTATGTGGTGTCATTTGTCAGGCTATGGTTGCAAATCAAGACAGGTGGGAACAAAAACAGATTTCACCATGAAAAGTGGCGGAACTCTCTAAATAGGCCCTTTCATAAAATTGGTGATAATGTCAAAACATTGGCCTACTTACTGCTGTTTGTTGGTTGAGCATTAAGCTGGTCAGATGGGCCATCATCCAATGTGGAGGGAGGCTGGGCAGACACTAGTATTAAAAAATAGCAAAGATGTAAAGATTTGATTATTCAGTGTAACACTTTTACACAAGACAAATTCGTACCACAAGTCCATTTTGTGGTCAAGCACGTGCTGATTGGCAGGGCTCATTCATTCACGATTCTATATGAGCCTGTAGTCAGCAAGAATTGGATGTGTTTTGCTTCAACCTAAACGGATCTGTTTTATTATTTACATGAGTGTAATTGTCAATAATCCAACATTAAAGAGCAATTCAAATGTCCTTGCATGTACTCTCAAATTCAGGACTAAGAACAAAGCAAATGAAGGCTTGAATGTTAAACTCAATTCAAATGCAGCAACTCAAGTCGACAACATTGAACAAAATCATCCGTTCAACGCATTTCACTTACTCTCAGTTTGGCCACTTCTGCAACATTTGGTTTAGATCAAAAGTTGACCATTGCTCAAAAAATGGACTTTCAAAGTACTTGGAGTTTACTAAAAAAACAAAAACCACACATAGTATCCACAATCCTTTTGCTGATATGCACTGAGCTGGAGTAATGTTTTACACATCACAAAAACAAAGGCCTACTTACTGCTGTTTGTTGGTTGAGCATTAAGCTGGCCAGATGGGCCATCATCCAATGTGGAGGGAGGCTGGGCAGACACTAGTATTAAAAAAACAAAGATGTAAAGATTTGATTATTCAGTGTAACACTTTTACACAAGACAAATTCGTACCACAAGTCCATTTTGTGGTCAAGCACGTGCTGATTGGCAGGGCTCATTCATTCACGATTCTATATGAGCCTGTAGTCAGCAAGAATTGGATGTGTTTTGCTTCAACTTAAACGGATCTGTTTTATTATTTACATGAGTGTTATTGTCAATAATCCAACATTAAAGAGCAATTCAAATGTCCTTGCATGTACTCTCAAATTCAGGACTAAGAACAAAGCAAATGAAGGCTTGACTGTTAAACTCAATTCAAATGCAGCAACTCAAGTCGACAACATTGAACAAAATCATCCGTTCAACGCATTTCACTTACTCTCAGTTTGACCACTTCTGCAACATTTGGTTTAGATCAAAAGTTGACCATTGCTCCAAAAATGGACTTTCAAAGTACTTGGAGTTTACTAAAAAAATAAAAACCACACATAGTATCCACAATCCTTTTGCTGATATGCACTGAGCTGAAGAAATGTTTCAGAGTTGTAACGAGTCACTGATTTTTGTGACTCGAGTCGAGTCGAGTCATTTTAAAGAAGTGACTCGAGTCGAGTCATTTTAAAGAAGTGACTCGAGTCGAGTCAAGTCATTTTAAAGAAGTGACTCGAGTCGAGTCGTGTCATTAGGTCCAAAGGTTGAGTCGAGTCGAGTCGAGTCAAATATTTAGCTCGAGTCATTTCGAGTCACGAATATTTGAACACTATATTACTCAAATTTATAAAAGGAGGCCATAAGTTTAGCCAGCGTTCGAATCCAGGAACTTCATAAGAAATCGCCTAAAGCCAATGATGAAACAGCGAATAAGAAAATGTGTTAAAAAATCTGGTTCCTGGATAGTATTTTGTGCGTTCTAGAACCATGAGGTGGGAGTCTGTGACACGTATATTTATACATGACTGCTCTTCGCAAAGCGAAGTGAGCATCAATTTTGCATCGTAAGTCATTGCAAATACTTTTCACAAAGTTGTGCTTTTATTTTTGGGATTCGAGTCTATTAGCCTTCGCTCGAGTCGAGTCGAGTCATTCTGATGAGGGACTCGAGTCGAGTCGAGTCATTTGCTCGCAGTGACTCGAGTCGAGTCAAGTCATTTACCCTTAGGGACTCGAGTCGGGTCGAGTCACCAAAAATTGTGACTCGAGTCGGACTTGAGTCGAGTCATTACAACTCTGGAATGTTTTACACATGTATCACAAAAACATAGGCCTACTTACTGCTGTTTGTTGGTTGAGCATTAAGCTGGCCAGATGGGCCATCATCCAATGTGGAGGGAGGCTGGGCAGACACTAGTATTAAAAAAGAACAAAGATGTAAAGATTTGATTATTCAGTGCAACACTTTTACACAAGACAAATTCGTACCACAAGTCCATTTTGTGGCCAGCAAGAATTGGATGTGTTTTGCTTCAACCTATTAACGGATCTGTTTTATTATTTACATGAGTGTAATTGTCAATAATCCAACATTAAAGAGCAATTCAAATGTCCTTGCATGTACTCTCAAATTCAGGACTAAGAACAAAGCAAATGAAGGCTTGAATGTTAAACTCAATTCAAATGCAGCAACTCAAGTCGACAACATTGAACAAAATCATCCGTTCAACGCATTTCATTTACTCTCAGTTTGGCCACTTCTGCAACATTTGGTTTAGATCAAAAGTTGACCATTTCTCCAAAAATGAACTTTCAAAGTACTTGGAGTTTACTAAAAAGACAAAAACCACACACAGTATCCACAATCCTTTTGCTGATATGCACTGAGCTGGAGTAATGTTTTACACATCACAAAAACAAAGGCCTACTTACTGCTGTTTGTTGGTTGAGCATTAAGCTGGCCAGATGGGCCATCATCCAATGTGGAGGGAGGCTGGGCAGACACTAGTATTAAAAAAGAACAAAGATGTAAAGATTTGATTATTCAGTGTAACACTTTTACACAAGACAAATTCGTACCACAAGTCCATTTTGTGGTCAAGCACGTGCTGATTGGCAGGGCTCATTCATTCACGATTCTATATGAGCCTGTAGTCAGCAAGAATTGGATGTGTTTTGCTTCAACTTAAACGGATCTGTTTTATTATTTACATGAGTGTTATTGTCAATAATCCAACATTAAAGAGCAATTCAAATGTCCTTGCATGTACTCTCAAATTCAGGACTAAGAACAAAGCAAATGAAGGCTTGACTGTAAAACTCAATTCAAATGCAGCAACTCAAGTCGACAACATTGAACAAAATCCTCTGTTCAACGCATTTCACTTACTCTCAGTTTGGCCACTTCTGCAACATTTGGTTTAGATCAAAAGTTGACCATTGCTCCAAAAATGGACTTTCAAAGTACTTGGAGTTTAATGAAAAAATAATCACATAGTATCCACAATCCTTTTGCTGATATGCACTGTATGAGCTCAAAGAAATATTCCACGTCACAAAAACATAGGCCTACTTACTGCTGTTTGTTGGTTGAGCATTAAGCTGGCCAGATGGGCCATCATCCAATGTGGAGGGAGGCTGGGCAGACACTAGTATTAAAAAATAGCAAAGATGTAAAGATTTGATTATTCAGTGATTGTTTTCATTTGAAGCACATTTCGGGTTGAAGCACATTACAATGTAAATGTGCATAAATGCAGTGGGGCACACAGGATTTGGCAGGAGGGGGGGGGCCTCACTTTTCGAAAATAGGCCACTTAGTTCATGTATCACCAGAATCAAATCTTGGGACTAATAATTAAAACTGACAACCTCGAGGGGGGGGGGGGGTTTCACTGCTTAAATGTATTGCAATTGCATTGCACATTCACCTATGTTACATGCACTAAAACAAGACAAGTTCTATCTGGTTCATTCGTGTGATGTCACCTCAGTATAAATCATGCCCACTTCACGTTGTTAAGTAGCATTGGAACTGGAAGTTAACGCAACTTGAGTGTTCATGTAATAGTAGCAATCGGAAGTGTGCGCACATGTATGACGTTTTTACTGAAGAACTGGTTATTTAGCTTTCGGTCAGCAAGTATGGGATATTTTGGAAATGAGCTTCACAAACAAGCATGATGAAAGTGCATCTAAAGATAGAGATGTGTTTTCACCTGTGAATTTGATAGATGGTTCTGCCTCAATGATTTTTTTGAGGGCCTCTCTCCCATAGGCCCCAGGCCTCTTCAAGGGCATCGGCAGCCCTGTGCATTCTATCTGCCCAGCCTCCAGCAGTTTGTAGCTCATCTGGCTCTTTTTGCCCAATGTTGCATCCCCTGTAGTATTAAAGAAAACATTTTTTTTGTCAATATAATATAAGGCCAAAAAAAAAAGTCGCCGTAGCCATGCGCTTCGGCAAAATAAAAAAGTTTTTTTGTCTATGAAAGATGATGTCTCAAAACCGCCAAACTCACTGGTTTAACTGGAATCCTGCTGCTGCACAATTTTAACATGTTTTTAGATGGGGTTATGATGGAGAATAATTGTTAACATGTGGCCTCTCTGGACTCCCATATTTTTGCACTAAGTTAAGTCTGGCACCATTTGCAGTCATCAGCCGACATTTAAAGCAAAAAAAACAGGTAAAAAAAAAAAAAAAACGCGTTGCCGTGCGTCTTTTTGGGCAAGTTCCATACCAGAAACTGGAGATTTTTTGGGGGGCTTAATCGAAATATACTCTTTTACCACCAAATGTGGCACATATAGTACCCGTGTGTGGTCTATATTTAAAATGTCGTGTAATACGACAAAAATTGCAGTTAGCCAGTCCACTCCCCACTTGTTTTCCACATTCCAACTTACTGTATTTCTGATTGAAGAGCTGCTGCACTTTAACCCTGAGCTGTGATATGTCTTCAGTAACGGTGCTGGACTTGTTAACTAGGTGTTAGAACAAATTGAAAGGAGACCATCAACATGATGAAAATATATACATGTAACTCCCTTTTTGTGTTGCAATGTTATATCTCCTCTAATGTCAGTTAAAAAGTAAGGTTTCATGAACCATTTTTGGGGATATATCATCCTTTTTTATATCATTTGTAAAACAAAATCACGAATGTTCATAAAAGTAACGAAGGAATACGTACATGTACATTGCTATTTGTTTAGCAATCCCATTTGCATTTAACTTGTGTGTAATGTCTAAATCTCACTCAGCTTAATAGCTTCCAATGGCATCAATGGACAGGTATCAAATCTTGTATTAAAACATGCATAACTTCTGATGGCATAGATTAATTCCAGTATTTTTTCCCCAGATGAGTGGGACAGCATTCATTGGTGTATCAAGTTGTATTCATTTTGAGATCAAAAACATTTTTTTGCAATGATTTTTTCCCCAGCATTATACATGACTTAATCAATTTCAAGGTGTCAACATTTTGAAAGGATCTTTATTAATAATATAGACATGATGTTTCCTTAGTTATAGTTTGATTGATGTTTGGTTGAAGACCCCTGTTAGATGTACGTTTACTCAAACTTTACAATACACACCTCCACTAAATCCACTGGAAGCACAAAATTTGGACGCAAAATTTGTGGAAGTGGCAAGATCGACACCAACATCACTGCCATGCACTGTAGAGATCCCTAAAGATGCACTAGTGCACACCAGTACCCAGTCCAAGCCATCAACTCTTGCACACTGCGAATAAATGTCCCAACAAAATAAGCAACAAATTTGAAGACAAAATGAGTGCTCTGTTAAAACACAAGTGAGCAATCTAGTACACAGAAGTAACCTTTGAAAGACACAATAATATGAAATTGTGAAATAAAAAGAGTGTCGTGGATCCCCTCTGATAAGACTACACAATATATTGAACTTATAATTCTTAAGTTTTGGTGGTTTTTTTGTTTTTGGTTTTTGGTTTTTTTTTTGGTCAGTGCTTGGATTAAACAAAATTTCAATCTTTCTAAGATATGTATGTCAAGATTTTTCCCTGAGGGAGTTTGTTACTGATCGAATGACAACCACCTGTAGGAAGGGATAAGTTTCAGTTGACTGACTAGTTGACTTTTAGGTTATATTGATACTTGCTGACATAAATGCACACATATAAGGTCCCCAAAAAAGTACTTCTGCTTCTCGGTTTGCCTACCTACCGTATTCTGACAGCCCATCTTTTTATGGACAAAAATGAAACAAAACAACAACTAAAACCATCAATAACTACCTTTTACCCTGGCCTATATACAGGCAGACGCCGCCATATAATCGTCCAAAAAAAAAGGGAAAAAAATCTCTACCCACCTACCCTCTTTTCGAATGCATGTAAACCGAAGCAGAACTATTATGTTTTGGCCTTGTACATGTAATGAATTTATTATCTACTGTAAAATTTGTTTATATCCAGAATCGAAACAATATTTCTTGAATTGTTTTCTTATTGTTGTCTGCCATGGATTAACCAGAAATTACAGCGGGAAAGATGATAAGCAATGAAATCCTAGTACAAAATATCATGTATTTTAAAAGGCAAAAATGAGTCGGTGCTATCAATAGTATCATCTATCTTATTTTGTGTACTGCATTACTGCATGATTCCTTTCAAGTTGTATTCTTTCATCACTTAGTTACAGTAAAATTTAAAATGTGAATTGCATTACATAAACACCATTTTTAATCTCACCATGTTAGAAACTTCATGGCCAAGATTGTTGGCAAAGCTTCGAAACCCTGATTCTCCAAGGGTTGTGGTTTGCTGGGGTAACTGATTCTGATTGTCAGCCTCTTTGTTGTAGAGCATTCGATTTTCCTCATCCAACCCCCGCCACTCCTGCACACCTTGCTGCATCATCTGTGCCCTGTTAAGAGCCGTGGCACCTTTATAAGCAAATAGAATGGTGGTTATAAAATAATTATTATGCATTAGGCAAAATAAAAAAAGAAAACATGTTTAGCGCCCTGCCTCTTTGACAAAAAGGAAGGAGGAGGCCCTTTTTTTTTTTTTTTTTCCAAAATGGCCGCCCGACACATTTTTCAAGACAACGCGGCCGGGCTATTTTTCAAGATGGTTACCAGCTTTTTTCAAAATGGCCGCCACTTGGACTCATTGACTATTTCCACAGCTTTATACACGGTATAAAAGTCTAAAAATACGATTTCTTTCGTCAGAGATCGTTAAAATTTATCAATTTTTGTCTTTAAAAAAAAAAAAAAAAGGAGGCGGCCTCTAAAAAGGAAGCGGGCGGGGACGCTAAACATGTTTTTTTTTTTACTTCGCCTTATGTTATTTTAAGCTGCCAAAAAGCCCCCAACCAACAGACCCATCACATACAGAAATATAGTTGAGGAACCGTTTTTATGTGCATTTGCAGGTTCATGTTTATATTGAATACTGTGGGTTTTTTTCATGGGCAGTTGTACCACAGGACAACAAAATATAAGAAGAAAGAGACATGAGTTCTGCAAGGTCAGTGGCTAAAACAAAATTTATAATCACAGGCCTGGTTTAGGATTGCAGTGCCTGACATTCCTGGGCAAACCACACGAGGATAATGAATAACATGAGGCTGATAGAAAAGGGACACAGTGTAGAGAAAAACCCATGAATGACTGTGCCAGTGGATATGGATCAGGTAATTGTTTTAGCAGGGGATTGGAATGTGGATAACACACTGAGAGCCCAAAGTATCTATTATTTTCCACAAGAGGTACGTCCTAGGATGATCCAACAATGAAACCAACCAAAACAAAAACCAACTACATTACTGATACTTGGACAATTAAGCTCAAGAAATAAAACAAATTTAAATGGATTAAAAACTAATTCCATGGAGTATTCTATTATGAAATAGTTCTTAAAAAATATTCAGGACAGACTTTTAGAAAAGATGGAAAACAATAAAAGGGTGCCAAAAACGTAATTTAAAATGTTTTACCGGTTACACACATGTATGCAGTGTGTGTTCTTGTAAAATGCTGATTGATTTATATATCCCCATTTTGTTATTTAATAACTAGAAGAAAAAAAGACTGATTAAAGTACATGATTTTTACATACCAGAAAGTATTTGAAAAGTGACCTGTTGGCAATTTACTAATTAATATCAACAATGTGGATATAGTGGCCATTGTGACATTACATGTTGCATTTTAAGAGTGGCCAATAATGAACCCTGCTACTGAATAAACAGGAAATATATAGGCCTAGATGTTTCTTCAGTGGGAACAAGGTCACAAGGATAAACAACCATACCAACTTAACTCCTGGTTCTGGGGGACTAAAAAAAAAATCATGTTTCACTTTAATATGCTGTTTCTTTCTACATGTATCACAAAGAGAACAATTAAGTAGACAAATCTTACCTTTTGAGCCTATAAACTTCTTCATGAAGATGTTGTAGCCACTGCATCTTCTTTTGCGCAGGGGTAAGACCCTCTGCTTGCCATTCTTTCGATGGTTTGTCCTGCGTTTATTGTCTATCCAACGCTATATAAACAGAAAGTTAATTGTTTCAAAAACACTTAATAGGCCTAACTGTTAACATGTCATGCATGTGGCACTTCTTCTTGCTCTGTGCTGTAAAAATATTTGGCAACACAGACCTTCTGTTTAATTTGGAAACTTGATGACTTAATAAATGAAACACTGGCATAAATTAATCTACACCGCAATTGGTTGAGAAGGATGAAAATATTGATACCTTCACTTGCTTCGCAGTCAAACCAGTTCTTTCGATGGCCAATGCAACCTTTCTTTTAGCCTCGGCTGTCCCATAGTTTGTCATGCCCTCATCCCAGAGCCTGTCAAGTTTTTCCTGATGCTCCATGGGCCTACTTTTAAACTTCTGAAAAACACAGAAAAAAACATTGATAAGTTTGTTAGCATATATATTAATATTAAAATTGCATTTTTTTTTCTAACTTCCTTATATGTTGTTCAATCACAAAATAGAGGGCATTAAAACAAAAATCCGTTCATAACTACACAGTCCATAGAGCAAGGAATATACATCAAGCAGTAGCTCCAATGTCTAAGCTTCACAACTGGTGCACCTCCACACCTCTCCGTCACCTTGAACAGCTGAGATCGGCATAAATACATGTTCGACGTTTGCCGATTTGCTTAGTATACAGAGTGTTCTTGAATTAAAGTTCCCTTAAATGTCACCATGGCTGGATACATACCTCCGTGTCGTCTTGAAGGCTGCTCCTTTTTTTTCTCGTAAAACTTTATGCGAATTGCTTCGCCAAGACTGCAACAAGTCAAGTACACGGTCTTGATTAGAGGTGTACTTCGATGTTCAGAATACGATATGCCAGCACCGGCCGCGCGTGATGAGCTGAGCTGTACTGTATGTTGGTACCGCGCCGCCGGCCAGGTGGCCGTTGCCCGTGGCCCGGCTGCGGCGCGGCGCTGCGCAGCATGGTTCTGGTGATGAAAAAAAAGTTTCCTGTCACGTGACCAAGGTGGCCAGATTTGCATTTCAAAATTATGCTAACTTTAGCAAAAACCTGCTACCACGATTCTGTTTGATCATACGTTTCTTAAAAAATATTTTGTTTTCCTTATTTTTTTTCGGGGGGGGGGGGGGGTGTGTTAAATTGACACATATGTGATTGTGCACGTCATTAGAGTACATTACACTATACCTGCTGTTCGTTCGTGGATCCAGAAATTTTGCAGGTAGGCATGCCGAAATGTAGAACTTTTTTTTTTCTCCGGACACTCAGAAAATCACTCGGTGGGCAGGGGAGTGGGTGTGGCTCGTTTCATATTTTCGATGGGGAGCGGACAATCCTTCTCCCGACTATTTTTTTAGGAGGCAGGCCGTTCGCTTGTGACATCACCTTTTAACATTTTCTACTGCCATTTTTTATGGATTTTTTTTGGGGGGGGGGGAGACAAAAGATGCTTCTGTTTTTGCCCCCCCCCCCCCCTCGTAGAACCGCACTTGAATTTACTACAGGGAAATTTAATGCAAAGAAAATGCATTTTCTAACTCAAACTCTGCTTAACTCAAAATTTGAGCCCACTCGCCAGAGGTGTGACTGATAAAAAACAAAATCTACTTAAAGCGGTCACACTGATTGACAGCACGGTATGAGGGCACTAAATTTGCCGGTTTTAAACAATAACAATTTCATACTGCATGGTGGTACTCTCACTGGTACTCCGGCTTAAAATGAGTACGGATCCAGCTTAATACATTAAATGCCAATTTCCAATAATTCTATCCAACTGAATCGGTCGCCACAGGCTATTCATGCTTCTTTCAGGTATGCTGTGTCATTTCGAAGAAAACAATAAAACATTGTTTCCAAAAATGCCGGGTTTTTTTCTTTAAGTGAAGTAATTCGGCAAATCCGAGAATGGGTACCGTTGGTACGGTTTGTGACATCAAGTAGTTTCAATGGCTGAATGAAACGTGTCCTGGATGCTGATTAACATGAAATAGTAATTCAATACAGCTTTCTCTGAATATACAAAATTTAAACAACATTTATACCTAATACAAATTTCAGTTGTTAAGTTCCTGTAGTCTGTATTTTTGCTTATATGAAGTCGAACAAAAAGACACAAAGTGACCAGTGACGCAGTCGTGATTCTCATACCAGGAAGGGGGGGGGGGGGGCGAGTAGGGTCATGAGGGCGGGGTGCCCAAGTTTCATCTGTTCTGAGAGGTGGACATGTTTTTTTTCCAACGTAGACACATCCGGGGATGTAGAGGTGTGGGGGGGGGGGGGGGAGTGTGTGCTATACAACAATTTTCCATTGACACTGTTCACCGTCGCAATTCCTGCTGGTCATTGTCAGACAATAGTATATGGGGCCTACGCGTATTGGACGTGAAAATGAACAGCCAATAAGTTATAAGAAAGGGTTTCACCAATAACACATTTAACATGTGAGAAAAGGCACTTTAAAAGTTAAACTCGCTTACAATGAGATCATGATTTTATCCGACTGCAAAATTTACATATTATAGTTTACATACTGTGGGCGGTAAATGTTTATGAAAGCTTTAGGGGCGGCGTGCGATTACAGTTTCCTATCCAATTGAACACAATGCCTGTTTTGCATAAAGTGCCATTTTTGGCTAAAACTTAAGCATTAACAATAGACATTACCCCGTGACGTGATTTTACACGGTTTACGAGTAAGAAAATGAAGTATAGATAAGATAATAAAGACGGACGTACGCGTCCCCGGCGCGGTGCAAATTATGAATTTGGCATCGTATTCGAAAAACATTTGTTTATAAGTCATTAGTTAATTATTGCGAGCTAAGTACCAATATTACAACAACTCAATATCAACGTTTGACATGGCGATTCATCTTTTTATCCTTGGCAAACATCTCCGATCCACCTTACCTATAATTTGGAACTGAGGCCACAGATAAGAGAAACTAGACTCGGAAGACACAATAGGAACATGATTCGTTTCCGTCAGAGGGGAATTTTCTTCCAAAAATGAAGTAATTAAATCAAACTTGTTTGTAACGCTTATGTTTTCTCTGGTATTTTCTCCGTTAAATAAACTCAATTATACTGAAAAAAAAGTAGAGGATATATTTAATTGATATTTTTATCGCATTAAAATAATTGTGCGTGAATTATTTTCTAACAACACAGTGCGAGAGGGCGCCCTGTAACAGCAAACTTGTGCAAGTCTTTTTACTGTTTCTGTCAAATTTACACTTCGTTGTCATCCAAAATCATTACTTAATGAACTAACTAGCCTTAATTCTGTTATCTAAACGGTTTGAAAGGCATGCTACATCGAAGAGATTAATGTTTCCCGTATCAGTTCTCCAGGTGTCAGGATAAAAGCTTTCACTGTCGATAACGAATCAGACTAGACTGTTGCGAGTTTATCGTAGTGTCTGTGCGTTTCTCGTTACTGATGCTTAGGCCTATAAGTCACCAGGCATCCTTTTAGTCGGTGTTTATTCTATTTATTTATTTATTCATATATTTATTAATTTGTTTATTCATTATTTTCTTACATAGTAAATGTATGGCAGTCATTACTATGCATACAGCCGGCCATACAGGCGTGAGTGCTCTGTCAAACCCCGGCGCGCGACGAAATAACAGAACAGAAGCCTTCGGCAGTAAACAGTCCTTTCGTAAAGTGATTCTTGAACGGAAACAGGAGGATATTAAAATTAATATTTGGTAACATGTATATTGATTTTTATAGTTGTGACAAGTTCGTGACAATTTTAGATTTTACATGCTCTGTGGTGCACTCTCAGTCGAGTATCCATCTAACCATTTTCTTTTTTTGGGGGGGGGGCAAAGATTATCCTAAACAAAATATCATCGACTCGGAGTTTGGAGTCATTGAATCGGCTATCCTGAGCAATAACATCAAACTGTTATATGTTTGGGACGAAACACGTGAGGGCTGAAGGAAGGGGGGGGGGGGGGTGTCGCCCTGGTCGATAGGTTTGGGTGCATTTTCTTCTCGTCGCGCGTGCCCACCCCGTCTCGCTCGTCGATCCCCCTCCCGGTCGCGCGAGGGTTGTCTCTCATTTTCTTCTGTCCTGGCGCTTTTTAATTTTTAGTCTTATGTGCAACTAATCATAGCAGGCTACGGTCTAACGTGAACTTCCCTATTAATTTTGTCCATCCCTCCCTTTCCTCTCTAGTTGAAGTCTCTCTTTCTCTCTATTAGGCCAAAAAAAAAATAAGTCGGTCTCTGGTCAGCGCGCGCGTCGATTTTAAGCATGCGCGTCGATCTTTTTTTCCCAAAATGTTCCGCGGTAGCTCCAACAGCGCCCTCTATTTCCGCACCTCCTCAATTATTTTTACCAAAGAGCACCAAGGAATGGGAAATTGCACCAAGGCAAATGATCGAAAGCACCAAGGCAAATTATGGAGGACACCAATGTACATGAGGACACCAAAAAAGCAAAATAGTACCCACCTTGTCTGTACAATCGAAGCTTGAAGAAAGAAAAAAAAAGCAAAATAAAAAAAAAAGCCGCGTGGCCGCGTCAATTCCGGAACTTTGGTCTGACCAGAGACCGAATATTTTTTTTGGCCTTAGTTGCATTTTTTTTGTATGGAAGGGGGGGGGGGGGGGTTGACCCCCACGCCCCAGATCCGCCCCTGCTAAGCGCTTATCATAGGGCCTAATGGCCAAACTTTCTATACTTTGGCAAATAACGAACCATGAACGAACCAAGGCTCAGCCTGAAAGCGGGGAATGTTCAAATCATAATTAATTTATGTAGTCGATCGAGCTTCAATTCTAAATTTTCAACTGTAATTAAGTCAATAATTGTATCGTCTTTGTTGACAGAGTCGACTGGGGCACCATCGATTATCAGGGACGGGTACCTGTTCGTGCGCAAGATATACTTCAATTAATAAATGAGTTAACGGACCACATGATCAAGCTAGGCAAAATAAATGCCCAGTTGAATATCTCAAATCCAAATTTGTTGATGTTCGGTTGGTTTTGTTCGCAACATTTTCCGTCCCCTCGTTTTGTCAGTTTGTTTGCAGACAATAACAGTTTTGCACGAGTAGATACACTGATTTACGGGGAATCCTATAGTTACTGTTACGGACGCGATGACCTAATGAACTTTAAAAAACTAAGGCCATGTTCACCAGTATCACTTCATGCAGAGTAGTTTTATTCCATGTTATCTTCCACTATGCACGCACAAGAAGTAACTACAAGTAACCAATATACGGACATTAATGCTGGCCAAGTTGGCCAAACCCTGCGTTTGCTCAGAGTGTCCCAGGTTTTTGTTATAATTCTATAAAAGGATGACCTTATTTGTCTATTTAATATGCACTTTTTCATTTGATTTCACAAATAAAAAAAATGATAACAACTTCTACGTAATATTAAGTATTTGTCCTTAAATCTTTACATCACTAACCACCTGATTACGAGATTCACATTCACAGAACTATCTCAGAAATTCCGACATTTGTTTTCATATGAAGACCAAGCTTGATACCGAAGCAATGACAACTTATCAATCCAAATTCCTTATTGTTTGATACTTGTAAGCTGTTAACATTAAAGGCAGTACAATTATAAGAAATGAAGGCCAGGCATTGTTCACTTGAATTATGACATAAATAAGAGGTTAAGACACTTTAAGAATTTTAAGTCAATTATTATTTACATTTCGTATATAAAATAGCCGCACGGGTATATGCCTAACTTGCTAAAGAAATACTCCGTAAACGTTTAACATTATCATATTCACGTTGAGTAAATGAATATGTGAACATTGACCCAAATGTCTGTTAAAATGTTGTACATACAAGGTGAAAATGTACATGTACCCAATACATCAGCAACACACGTGTTCATGAACAGATTTCTCAAGAACAATTGTTTCTGTTTCATTATTAAATTTAATTGTAACACCTAGTCAGGATATAATGAATCACATATAGATAAGCAGAGGGATGAATTTGACATCTGAGAATAAATAGTTTTAATTGTTATAGTGAATTAACTTAAACAACGGAACATTTGGACATGCTTTATTTATCAAA